TTTGTTAGAACTCAATGATTATCCTAATTATATTTTAGATTTTTTATCTTTAAAATGAGATGTTTATCTTGTATTGGATTGTGTTTATCTGCAGTTAGTTACACGAATTCAGTTATGGGATGAAATCGTTTAGGGATGAGCGGGTTTAAGAGTTTAAGAGTTTTAGTCAAATGCTTTATAATATAGTATAGATAATATTGATAAAGTTACATATAATCTAAGGTATATATAATCTAAGCTATAAAATTACATATAAAACATGTTATTAATTAAAAAATAATTAGAATGTATATATAAATAATTTATAAAATAGTTAATAAATGTTGTAGTGCGGACCACTTTTGAAAGTGTAGGTGAATTGCAGGTATGTGGTAGATAATTGCAAAACCTGATGTGACACAATTGAAAATGTAAATGGATTGCAGGGATGTGGATGGTCTTAATAAAATAATATTTAAAAGTACATTGTTGTAATAAAGAAAAACAAAAGTAGAATGCAATAATAAGAAAATTTATAAAAGTAAGTTGTTATTTCATGCATTTAACCCTTTTTAATATAGCTACTCACGTTGGTTTATTATCTTATTTACATATATTTATCAATAATTTAACAATCATATTAAATCTATAGTATAAAAACACATCAACTTCATCTGGTTGAGTTGGGTTCAATTGACCTAACCTAATTTCACCGAATAGATGCGATTTAGTATAATTTTGTAACTATGTGTCAAGTTATCTCGGTTGAGTTTTTTTTTGTTTTTTAGATTGGTCGGTTTTTTGAGTACTCCTATTATGCAGGGTCGGGTTAATTCAATAATACACCTAAAGGTGTTAATGAGTCAAGTTTTTAATGAGTTATTCGAGTTCGACCTCAAGTTTAATAATAATTGTCGAGGTAAGTCGATCTCGAACACATACCAAAACTCATTTAACTTAACAAGTCGAGCTCCATAAAGCCAATATTCAACTTGGATAATTCGAAAACTCGATTAAAACTTCCGAGTAAAGCCATTTGAGCATACACTTTTTCAAGCCAAACATGTTTATATGTTCATAAATCATATAATCAAAATATAAAATATATTAAGATTGAGCCACTAAGCCAGTTAAGCAATCTTAAGCTCAAGCCTGTAAATGAATATCAAGCTCGAATCAAATATAGAAAAAATATTCAAGTTCGAGCTTGGTAATACTTTTCTAAGCCGAAATTGAATTATCTTCAACTTAACTCGACCCTCGTTAACACCCCGTTATCCAACTGTAAGCATTCCAGTCCTGTTCCTCCTTTTATGGACACATATCCTTTTATAACCAATAATCACTTATAACAGAAATAATGCTTACATTTAAACACATAAGCCATAATCAAGATATGATGTTGTTGGATGACCAACTTCTTATATAAAGAAAAGGCTGCAATGTGTATATCAATATTATACAACAAAAACACAACCCCTTTCAACTCCATCCTTTAGAACAACAAAAGGAGAAAAAGCCATCTCCAAAAAGTTGTAGCTAAAACATTATGTATAACAAAACCAATTAAAAAAAAAAGATGGAAAGATAGTTTTGCATCAAGACAGGAAGATATGTAGTAAACTAAGTAGCAGCAAAAGGGTAGTAGAATAGATGATCGATCACTAATATGTCATAAGAGGTGACCCACTGCAATGAACATCAGAAGCATCAGAGATCCTTTGTCTTGGAGACAATGTCGTGTTTGCCGCCACATCGACCTCAAGATTCACAATGCTTTTCCGCTTTTGAGTTTCCAATTTTGCTTTGTTTTCTTCTACATCCTCAGATACCGGGTTCAACGACACTCCTTGCTTCTCTTGGTTAAGAAGCATTGCTTGAGCTTCTTCCACGATCGTTGCATCTTCTTCAGCGGCATATAATATCCTCTTTATGGCATCAATGATCTGCAAATGGGATATTATAAGATACAATAATAAACCATCTTGAGTTTACAAACCAAAACCAAAAGAGAGACAATAAATCCCACCTAAAAGTAGGTTCCCGGGAGGGTGAGGTGTAGGCAGATCATACCTCTACCCTCAACAGGGTAAAATGGTTGTTTCCATACAGAACTGGCTTGTGCAAGAGTGTGAGCAAACAGGTGGAAACATGAAAAAAATAAAGAAAAAGTAGATCTAAAAGGATCCCCAATAAATCCCACTCAAAGTGTAGGCCCGGTGAGGGTAAATAGAGCTGACCTGGTGAGGGTAAATAGAGCTGACCTCTACCCTCAAACCCTAACGAATAGAGGGAATGTTTCTCTGAAAACCCAAGGAAGCAAGAAAGCAAAAAGAAAAGCAGCAAACGGAAATAGCATAATGAAACATACAGAAACTGAGGACAACTTGAGTTTACAAAATCTGCAAATAAATTGAGGGGAGAAACATACAGGCAAATTTGAGATAATGGGAGACTGGCACAGGATTTCGATGTCCCTCAGCTTTGCAAAGTAGAAATCTCTCTCTTTTTCAAGACTATCCATTGTTAACTTCAACTCAGTGATCTGCATGACAATAGAATATAAGTCTCTCGTTGTATAATTTGGATCATCATTTTGTGGGTACCTGTTGATCATATGCAGAGACGTTTGTAGCTGAAGAGGGTTTAGCGGTCTTGACAGGTGGACCTGTTGGCTGTGCAGAAGGTGCATCACCTCTTCGAGAGGGGTGAGCTTTAGGCGCAGTTGTGTTACCCCTGGAGGATTGTGTCGGCGCAGATTTCTTGCTCACATCTTTCCCCCCTTTGCAAGCCTCTCTTCTTTCCATGGGGTTGTAACTATAATATAAATGCAAAAAGCTAATCAGAAAACTTGAAATGACCATGTTAAATGCTGAAAGTTATTCCATCTAAAATTAACATTTTTGTCTATGCTAATTGGTTAACAAAGAGGGATGAAGCGAACTCTTTAGTCTTGCACTTTTTAAGCCATCATAAGTAGCTCAATATGATGCAAGAACAAACAAGCAAGCATCAAAGAATTGGACAAGCTACCTACTTCCTTGCAAAATGGAAAGAAAAGGCAGTTTATGTCTTGTTGTGCTAGCACTTGGATACTCACAGAACTCATACAACATTGTCTGGTAACAAAAGCAAAATATCCATTTGTTCCCAATTCGTGAAGAAAAGATCCACGCACTTCAATTTTTGATGTCAAATGGCAATTTCATATGGAATTTGCTACAAACTTGAGGCCAAGTTTATTTTTTAAGAGTACTTGCTGGAAAATTCAAAACGGATTCAAAATTTTAAATGAGAAGTTTCTCATGACATCCATAGTCAAAATGGAACTCTCACTAGGAATCATTTCCTTAAGCAACACATAAGAGAAACAGAAACAAAATTTAAACAAACAATAACATTTATTATTTATGATACACGAATTGGAAGAGGGTTCATGTAAGTGTAACAGTTAGAGGTAGAACTAGGAGTCAGTAAGAACTTACTTGTGACTACCACCCCCGCTAACAGAATCACAGTATCTCTTCATCCATTGCATGAATTCAAGATTATCTAGTGGTCTTCCTTTCACTAGCTTGCTCACCTCAATGTGCTGTAAGATAAATTAGTTACTACTACCATTCCACATAAAAAAAACTATATGTTCAAATGCATTTTTAACAAGCAGAATTAAATTCATTAAAAATACACACCATTCCCCCAAAAACAACACACTCCATCTGATACTAGTTAGTTGTTACCAGACACAATTTCTGAACACAATCCGAGAATCTAAAACATAAGTGTCGAAATAAAAAAAACTGGTAGAACCTTTGTGATTTTCAGTTTGTTGAAAACATCCTGAAGAACCTTATAGTTCTGAATCATATCGTACTCTGTCTTGGCGTCAAAATTGACCTTGTGCATCGGTACCATTCCCGGATGTGCAGCATCCATAAGCTGACAGTGAACTGCGCCGGAGCACGCCTACGCAATCAAATAGCTAATTTAGTCAATTCAATACGCATAAAGTTGACGATCCAAACATAAACCTAACTCTAGATTTTGATACACTGTGATAGATGATAAAACATTCAGAATAGCAATAATTCAACAATTAATCTAGGTTTCGAAATTGGGGATAAAATAAACCTCTTCAACTTTGGAGAGACTGAGTTGGAGAGTGGAATTGATCCAGGCTAAGATCTCCGATCGGCCAACGAAGTAAGCACCGTCCATCATTCCGATGTTAGTGGCCATCTCCGATGTCTCCCTTTCCTACTGTTCTAGAGAGAGAGAGAGAGATGATGGAATTGGTGCGGCAACGCTCCTGTAGTCAGAGAACAATGTGTGGGTTCGAACTTCGAAATAAGAGGTGAAGGCGGGATTTGTAGAGCTTAATGGAATTCAAAACGCAACACATTAATGGGCCTAACGGCTACAATAACTGGGCTCTTAAAAATCATAGAAAGCCCAAATAAACTTTCCTTTTGCTTTGTGTTAGACTGATTTTTTGTTCCCATTTGGAGCCCAATAAATAAACCGACACCGTGTTCGTGTTCGTGTTCGTGTTCGTGTTCGTGTCCGTGTCCGTGTCCGTGTCCATGTCCATGTCCATGTCCATGTCCATGTCCGTGTTCCTTTCAAAATAATTATCATACACGACTTGTATTTTGCTATAAATTTTGTTGTTAAGGGTAATGAATGATTAAAAATCCATTTTAAAGAAGCTAGTTAAAACCCTATCCTACCTCTCCTCCTTCTCCAACAATGTGATTTTCACCGACAAACCAACCATCGTTCGCCTATAATTATGTAGCCACCATCTTCCACTACATTGCTCATCAAACCTGCAAGAAGCATGTACATCTTTTAGAGCTTCCATGGCACTTCAAGAGTATTTTGTGAATGTTCTTAGTGAAGACTAGAGGATGAAATCGCTGAATTTTATATTTCTTCCTCATATTGAAATTGAATGAATGCTCATCTAGAAATCTTGTGGGGTTCCATAAAAGTTATGATATATATATATATATATATATATATATATATATATATATGTAGGGGCCCATTCAAGAAAGAACTGATTAGTTTGTGGTAACTGTGAGAACCAATCTTAACCACAAATCAACGGATAAATAAGGAAATTAGTAATTATGGTATTTTAAGTTAAAATTATAATTAGAGGGCATTTTAGGTATTTTTAAAAAATTCATCTCTCCTCTCTCCGACCTCCAATCTCCGACCTCCAATCTCCG